GAAGGAGCCGCTGAATAACCGGATATTTCTATCCCCCTACACCAATGTACCGCCCAAAGCGTGGATCCACAGCACACCAACACACCTTTGAACAGTTTTATATGACAAATCAGAGATGAACAACTATGATACAATAGTAATGACAGAAATCCCCAACAATAATGTGCATCAACAGGCTGAGGCACTCTGCGACCCAGTAACTGCAGCTATCTGCTGTCAGTACTGAGGTATGTGAGGCCAGTTGTCTCTAAAGTCTCTAAAGGCTTTCCCCTGAATGGGGTGTATATCCCTTTAAGGTCTCCCTTTAACAATGTCCGAACCTCCCTATACTACTGGCCAGTAGTGGTGTCCTAAGCTAGCCGGCATTGGGGCCCTTACTGTAGTGCAGATATGAACAGCAAACAGGTTGTCAAATGGCCAAAGGCCTCTCACCAATCCTCAGGTCAGTTGCTTGCTCTGGTATTTTTCCTCCAAAACGGCCTCTTCTTCCCGAATTTCTCTCACCAAGTCTGGGTAGGTGGGTACGTCTCTAGAACCCTTTAGGAGCAACTTCAAAACAACAGTTTAGCACATATACACATGAACACATATAACTATATCTATAGGGGCTACATGTACAAAAAGTATTTCCATTGACATGGGCAGTTATACTGTATATGTGAGAGCCTATCAGACATACTAGGGGAAAGGACAGCCTGCCATTGATACCAGGTCACAGGAGGTCCAGTGTCACATATCAGTGGCAGATGTGTACCCAGGGCTATGCGTTATAACCTATTAATGCGGAAGTGGAGAGGAAGGAAGACCTTGTGAGGATAGAATATTATTGTAGCATGCGGATCACTGAGCTGGGTTTTGCCACTAAATGTGAATTTAGCCAGCTTGACCATATTTTTTCAAATTTGTTGGGACAACCCTGTTTTGTGAGCTTTGCTAACTTAAGGTAAGACATTTCCTCTTTAACCACACCTGGAGGGGGGTGGGTGTCTGGAAAGGTGAGGATGACAACCAATGCTGAGCCGCATGTTTCCTGGCCAAGAAAAGAAGTTGGATGACTGCAAAAGTAAGGAGGCGATTATCCTCCAGAGTCTCAATAAACCCAATATACAAAGTAAAGGTACAATGTCTAGATGTATAGCAAAAATACTGTTAAAAAGGGCAATTGCATCGTGCCAGTACTGAAATAACTTTGGGCATGGCCACAACATGTGGCCCTAATACATTTTGGGCATAGCGGGGTATCTCTGCGGCCAAATTTAAATAACCATTCAGTGGTCCTATACACCCTGTGTATATTGTGTTAGCCTCCTGGAAGAGGAAAGAAAAACCTGCTTGTAGAATAAAATCCCATTGATCTTTTGAAATTTGGCCAAGATCCTGCTCCCATTAATATATGCAGGGGAGCTCTGTGGCCCCAACACAAGAATTCAACAAGACAACGCAAATAAGATAATACTCCTTTTCTAGCTGTTGCAATTCTGCTTTATGAAGGGTCAACAACAAAGTTTCTGTTGAGCCTGCACAGTGTCCCGAAGCAGTAAATATTGGTAAAAGCTTTGTCTCAGGACACAGAATTTGTCTTGCAAAAGACATGGTGAAGGTGAGTTATTCCCAAAGCCTTTCAAAATGCACATTGAATGTAATATAATACCGCATTGAGGCCACTAGATGGAGCTGGGGAGCATATGAAATAAGTATTTTCTAAGCTCTCTCTTTCTTTTTCTCTCTCCCTCTCTCTATCGCTCACTTTCTCCCTCTCTCTCTCATTTTATCTCTCTCTCTTTCCCCCTCTCTTTCTATCCCTCTCTCCTTTTCCCTATCCCCCTTCTCGCTCCATTTTTCTCTCTACTCTAGTCCTCCCCCCTCTCCCTTCTTCTCTACATTTTTCTCTATATCTCTCTTATCCCTCTCTCTCTCTTCTCTACCTTTCTCTATTGCTCTATTTTTTCCTCTCTCCCTCTTCCTCTCTCCTAGGCTTTTTCTCTCTCTTTGTGTGTCTCTCTCTCTTCTCTACCTTTCTCTCTCTATCACTCTATTTTTCCTCTCTCCCCTGCTCCTTGTCTCTCTCTTTCCATTGCTGTATTTCCCTCTCCCTGCCTTTCCTCTTTCTCCTCTCTACTTCTCTACCTTTCTCTCTCTATCTCTCTATTTCTCTTCTCTCCCCGTCTCTCTCTCTCTCTCCTAGGCTTTCTTTCTTTCTCTTTGTGTGTGTGTGTGTCTCTCTCTTTCTTCTTTCTGTCTCTTCCTTTCCTAAGCCATTTCTCTTTCTTCTGTTTCTTACTGGGAAAAAGAAATCAGGAAAACACGATCCCACAATAGCCCATGGCTGCTTTTTTTTCCAGTGATCAGTCCTGCCAAATGCATAAATGGGTAAACAGAATTCTCCTGTCTCAGTCAGTCTGACACAGACCTCCGCTGACTCTTATCACACTGCTATAATTTACTGCCATCGATCTGTTAATCGTCCCATAGTCAGAGCTATGTGTCTGCTACTTTTCCCTGATAAACACAAAACAGAATGATTCCATCGCACATGTATGTGAACTATCCTATAAGTTTGCACTTCTGGTAAACCCCAGCGATGTTTCTTCCTGTACGCAGACTGCAGAGTGCAGTTACACGCCCCTGTCTGAGCCTCCCCCAATCTTATCAGAGGAGTCCTGGGGAATGTGCTGCACGCAGGCTCACCTCTGTCAGCATCTTCCTTCCATCCCTCCTGACACATACGAACAATCCAGGACTGAGACACTGCACTGTGATCTGCTATCAGCACCATGGCGGACAAGATCAAGAGGGAGATTTCCAACTTCTTCTTTGAGTATGACACCCCTAGGATGGTCCTAGTCCGGGACAAGAAAGTCGGCTTGACCTTCAGACTCATCCAGTTTGGAGTCCTGTGCTACATCCTGGGGTAAGTACTTGGCTTGTCTTAGGAGGACACAGATAACATCACTGATTGCAAAGACTACACATGGATTGGGAGTTTATCACAACCACTTTACAACAAGATTTTGTCTTATGTGTTTTATTTATTATTATTATTATTATTATTATTATTTTCTGTACCCTAAAGCAAGACAAATGTAAAGGAAGACAGAGCCATGTTAAGTAATTCCATTATAAAATGTCACTAGGTGAAAGGTATACAGTATATTATGTACTTTAGATTTATTTCATTGTAGGGAATGCCAGGGAGGAAAGAGTGTTGAATGATATCAGAATGGTTCTGTGTGTGTTAATATGTGCAGAAAGTTAGTAGGACCATCAGTGTGAAGCTGGGAATACACAGAACTTTGTTTGAAAGGCTTGTTTCTAAAGAATTACTCATCGTTAATGGAGTCAAATAGATGATTGTTTTTGATTGTAGCAATGAAAATAATCGAAGGCGTAGGATGGAAGATTTTCCTTGAATTAAGTAAATTCTAAAGTTGGTGAATTTCATCAAGAATCAGAGAAAATGTGCTCACTGGGTAACCATGTCCTGTGTCTCGCACCAGATATCCTTCAAATAAAAAAATCAGCCAGGTGGAAAATTGTCGTCCAAACAACGCCTGCATCCAATCAGATGCAGCCACTGTTCAGGTATTTGACAGCTGGCTGGGTCAACTGTCAAATACAATGGTTGCAGCGAGGAAATTCCTCCATTCACGCTGTTTAGTGTGGATAGAGGAATCTGTTGCTGAAATAAAAATCTAACGTATACCCAGCTGTGGTTTTTGTCCAACGACAACATTGCTCAGGTCTCTGATGGCATATCGAATGTTCTGACTAAGTTTTTCGCTTGAACGTTCATACAAAATTCTAACCGTGTATATTCAGCTTAAGTCAACAAGCAGGATGGGGCCAAATGCAGCAATGTAGCATTCAGGTAAGCGTAGAATAATGCAAAGCTTGCTGAAAAGAAAGGTGGGCATTTAGTCAGTGGCGTCACAAGGGGGGTGCGGCCCGCACCCGGGTGACAACAAAATGACTCACAGTCATTTTCATTTCACCCCCTCTAAAGAGTCGGGCACTTGGTCACGGAGCGAGAGCCCGACAGTGTCAGGAGAGAGGAGGGGACCTGGCAGCATACCTCATCCCACCGGGTGAAAGTCCCCTTCTCTCTCTGCCAGCATCCATCACCAAGATGGCCACGGCAGGCGTCAAATGAGATGGCCGCGCACGTGCACGTGCTAGGTGACGTCACGCGCACACACGATGACGACACGCGAGGGTGTCATCCGGCCTTCATTTAGTCGCTCAGCTAAGACCCGATTCGTACCGAAGGATCACCAAACACGTTACAATCTGACCATGCAATCTTTATACAATCAGCTTTAGATTTGCCAAAACTATGTAATATGAGAACCTAGCTAAACTATCCAATCAGTTTATATCCAATCAGGTAAGCACTTGCACTACATCCTTGTTGGTACATCTAAATAAGATTGTAATGTGTGTGGCCAGCATAAATATGAGCGCTTTCAGGTGGTTTTTAAGCTTTTTTCAGACTTGAACAATTGCGTTTCAGCCAATGCAAACTAGGAGGAGAAGTTGGTTTAGGGCACAAAATGTTACACTACCTAAATTTTACAGATGTTATTTAGGGGCTCCTATTGAAGTCTATGGGGCCAAAAATGCACAATTCTGTCCAAAAAGAAACTCATACTTTTTTTCGAGGTACAAGTGACAAGCGGCACAATGCTCAGGTGCCAATGGACGCCATTGCAAATATAGGGATTCTTTAAATTAAACATTGATTTGGTTCAGGAAACAAAATGCTCAGGTGTTAATGGGGGCTTAGTGCAGACTGTCACTGTTGGCAAATGAGGGGTTCCTTGGCAAACATTGAGAATCACCCTCCTTTTTAATTCCATGGAGGAATCAAATGTGTATGTAAAGCCTAACAGTGAATTTCTCTTATTTGCCCCTTTTTGTTCTGTTAATTTTACCAGAGTGCAAAAAAAGAAAAACACAACTACCTGTTGATCCTGTCAGAAATAGGGATAGCTCCTCAGAGTGATTCTGTAGTCCTTTTTACAGAAATAGTTTTTATTGAAAGATTTTTCACAGAAACATCCTTGTAGGATGCATAGGTACATAAAACATAAAACAAACAAACATAAAATATAGCATCTATCTCACATTCCTTGGGCAATACAAATCCCAATAAAACTTCCGCCACATAAAATGTAATACATGGAGGACATTAACATTCAGCAGAATTAGTGAACGAGGCATATAAGGGTCCTTTCCCCTGCATAGGATCGTAGGATACGTATTGAACTTCAAACTGGGGGCAGGGTACCCGGAAAGATGGACAGCAGTGCCATTTTAGGTGTGATGAGGACTTCGTTAGAGACCACTCGTGAGTAGACATGTGAGACGGCTCGCCAAAAGGGCAGAAGCATGGGGCAGCTCCACCAGATATACGTCAGTGTACCTATATAAGCCTGACATCTCCAACAGGTGTCTGGGTTTAATGAGCTAATTTGATGCATCCTGACCGGTGACCTGTACCACCTGGTCAACAATTCCGTTCCTGTGCATAGGAGGACATACTGAGTTTATGCATGAAACAAAGACTTTTGCGTCGATCATCTTCTGAGAGGACGATCCCCAGTTCCCGTTCCCACGCCGCAAAGTAATAAAGCGAATCCCCACGTGTCGCGGAGATCAGGAAGTGCAACAGCGTGGAGACAGGATGTGGGAGCGGCAAAGCCGCAGCACAAAGTCCCTCAAAGGAGGTGAGCGGCCTATAAAGATTGCCCTGAGAGGACAAAAGCTTCACAAAGTGGCGGAACTGAAAATAGGCTAACCAGGTTGCCCGTGGAGGTGGGTCTGGATCGAACAACGCAGTCAGCGACTTTGAGGCATTTCCATGCAGGCTGTGGAACACATAGGAGGGGTCCCTGGCTTTCCAGCACAAAAAGGTGGGCACACAACAACCCACAGGAAAGTCTGGGTTGGCCAAGATGGGGGTCATAGGGCCCTGAAATGTAGAGAGGTTATATCTAGCCATCGTGGTGGTCCTCGCCCGTAGCACCAAAGGCACGAAGAAAGGAAGGTCCGATCTGCGAGGTGGCAGGTCAGCGGGCAGCCATGGAAGGTTAGTTAGGTTGACTGGGGAAAGGTCCCTCTCGAGGGTGACCCTGAGGGGAGGATCAAGCGAGTCAAACCAGGCCACTAGGTGGGATAGATGAGTGGCTCTATAGTAGGTCTCTAAGTCCGGGGGGGCGGCCCCACCATGCTCCTTTTGCTTGATTAGAAGGGCATACCAAAGTGATTCTGTAGTCCTAACAAACTTCCTGTTCTGGGGGGTTCTTGGGTTTAGATTTGCTTTAATTGGTAGTGTAGTACCCTGTCATTGCAACTCCAAATTCTATTGGATTCACTTTTTCCTGTACAAAATCTTGAAGTTGCCCATAGACACTATTGTAACTAAAATGGTTGATTAAAGACGCACATTCCAAGGCTGTATACATTTTAGCTATTCAATAAGGATAAAGGGAGATTTCTGGGATTTTTTTTATAGGCCCCTGAGAATGGTTTGGCAGTTGGAGAAATGTACTTATTCTGCCCCAAAGTGTGCAAGCTAATCTGCTAGGTATTTATAACCCCCAGAGCCATTGGTACAATTAGAGTAAATAGCTTTTTGTTGCATCAAGTACTGATAGCAGCATTCCTCATGAAGTGAGTGCTGTTGTCACTTCTCCTACACTGCTATTCATCTTCATCCACCTTAGTAAATACACATCTTCTACTTTTGTACAATGAAGAGACATGTGAATAATTATTCCTGCCAACACAAGGCTATAAAGGAACGCTCTTCTGCCCATTTTATATTTGGCCAGTCAGTTGTCTTCTACACCAACCACAACTTTGAAGGGAAATTGTGTGGTGCTTAACGGGCAGCTCATGGGGAAGCCCATTTTCCATGCTCTGTATATACTGTACAATCTCCTCTGACAGCCCTAATGTACTAAAAACACTGGTTCTGCTATTGGACAACTGAAGAGTTTTCAAAGCAATACATCAGAGGTGGCAAACGATGGCCCTCCAGCTATGGTGAAACTACAAATCCTATCATGTCTTTGCCTCTGCTGTGGCTGTCAGTGTCTTGCATTGCCTTATGGGATTTGTAGTTCCACAACAGCTGGAGGGTTGGAGTTTGTCTACCCCGACTGTAAAGTAAAGGGAGATTGGCAAGCACAAGGTATTGTGAGACATTCTTATATGTCTTCAATTTCCAAGGAGATCCATCCAGTAAAATTGAAAGATTTAGGATTAGAGGCTTTCTCTGTCAGGTCGGGGTATGCAGGGCCAACCAACATATAAAGTTCCAAGGACCTTTATATGATCACAATGGTATATTTTGTGCAAAATAGATCATTTAAATCCTATACAAAACCAGACGTATCAATTAATATTTATTATATTAAGAGATCAGTAGCTAAGAACAGTGCCTTTCCTTGGCCTTAAGCTGGCCATACACCAGAAGCATTCAATTCGAAAAAAATCATTTTCGGAGCATTCATTAGATTTTTTAGATAGTTAAGCGGGCTACATGCTTGCTTGATGCTGACTTAGTAAATGTCCTCCTGTGACCCAAAAGAGAACTAAAGCCAAAAAAGATTTGGCTATAGTACACTTTAATATCAGTAGCCAAGTAGGTTTAGTGGTCAGCCCAATGCCATTGTGTGCAGTACAATAAAAACAATACTTTGACCAGCCTATAACCAGGCAACTACCAACTCCAAAAGATGTCAAGTCTAGCTGTCACCATGTATTCTTGATCTTATAGCACATGCACACCACGATAGATGTAAAATTCCAAAATCGTTTAATTGCATCACAATCTTAAATTGCTGTAGTATCTTGTCTTTCAAAGTGTCAGACTGCCAATACAAATAACATAACTAGGAAACCTGT